AAGTGTTTGTACAGTAGGGCTACGATGGCTATACGAGTACAGAACCAGAGTTCAAAACCTATCCAACTGCAGAGAGGTGTAAGACAGGGTGACGTTATACCCCCGAAACTCTTCACCGCTGCATTGGAAGACGTTTTCAAGCTACTAGACTGGAAAGAATACGGTATTAACATCAATGGCGAGTATATCACTCACCTTCGATTTGCCGACGATATAGTCCTTATGGCAGAATCGCTGGAGAACCTAAGCACTATGCTCAATGACCTTAATAGTGCCTCCCAACGGATAGGTCTTAAGATTAACATGGACAAAACAAAGATCATGTTTAATGTCCATGTCACACCTGTGCCGGTAGTTGTTGGGAGCACTATGCTCGAAGTTGTTGACGAGTACGTTTACCTGGGACAAATAGTCAGACTAGGTTAGTCCAACTTCGACCGAGAGGTCAATCGACGGAATCAACTCGGCTGGGCAGCGTTCAGGAAATTACGACACATCTTCTCGTCAGGTATACCTCAATCTCTGAAAACTAGATTGTACAACCAGCGCGTCTTGCCAGTGATGACTTACGGATCTAAGACGTGATCCTTCACTGCTGGCCATATAAGGACGCTCAAGGTCGCTCAGCGAGCTATGGAGAGGGCTATTCTCGGAGTTTCACTGCGTGATAGACTCAGAAATGAGGATAACCGCAGTAAAACCAGAGTGACCGACATAGCCCAATGGATTAGTAAGCTGAAGTGGCAATGGGCCGGCCATATAGCTCGAAGAACCGATAATCGATGGGGAAGAAAGGTTCTCGAGTGGCAGCCTCGTACTTGTAGGCATAGTGTTGGGCGACACCCCACTAGATGGAATAACGACCTGGTAAGATATGGATTCAGGTAGCTCAGGACCGTGCTTTGTGGCATTACTTGGGGGCGGCTTATGTTCAGCAGTGGACTTGTAGGGGGCTGTAATGATGAATTATGATGATGATTTCAGAAGCCCATTGATTAACCTCTAAAGAAACCGCTAAGGTCTGCCCTTAAATTGGACATTGCATCTTCTTCAAAGAAGAAGATAATTAGTTAGTTTTTTTTTGTCTACACATGTGTATTCATTAATTGTGAACTAATACTGCTTATGTTTTTTTATAGAATAAAGGTGACAAACGAGCACACAGTCCACCTGATAGTAAATGGATGCTGTGACTCCTATAAATCTACATTTATCCTCTATTAAGAAACAAAATATAGATGCTTTGTCACCCCTGAGGACTACGATGTAATGCCTCGTTTTTAGTAAAAAAGAGTCTCCAGATCTATATACTCACCATACGAAACACGGCAGTATTAAGGTGTTAATTTTAAGCTGGTATTCTGTGAGAGCGTAGTCCTTCTCCGGTCGAGCCGAATCATTCGTGCTACAACCATAATAAAGCTGCAGTGTAGCATAACCACGTTTAAAATTGAATTAAAATGTCCACCCATAAAGTTATAAAATAGGAAATGAAGTTATTAATGTAACTATTAAAACGATACTAAATCAACTCAAGCTCCTTTAACAAAAAGCAAAAGCCGATGACGACTCAAAATAGTTGTTGAACATATCGCAAATGCATGTGATCGAATTATCACATCCTTCATTGAAGAAGATGCAAAGTCTCATAGACACCTCTATGTGTCCTCGATTACAAATTAAAATACAGATTCGTTGCCATATCTGAGGAAGCCGATGTTTGAAGTGGGCTTAAACTTCTTAATAAAGATTGTTTTTTCTAGGGAGTGTACGAAATGGTCCTCACATAAAATACAAAATATACAAATTTTTGATTCTGTTTCATTTTAATTTTTTAACTGTAATCATGAAATGAGATGCTTAGACGGTATTAATTCACTTCGAATTTTGTCGTAGTATTGGTGTAGTTTCCGTGCTGAAAACATCTGAGGCACCGCTGTCTACTGCATGGACAACGGTGCCTCAGATGCATGCATAGTAAAGTTACAGGCTATAAAATTCCTACAGCTGGGCACGGGCCTCCTTTCATTTCTCAGATGATTTGATAGCAACGTAGTTTTCCGCCGTCCTGCTCCAGTAATTTTTATATTCAATTTCTTAGTCATGCAGATTTAATAATAACTAAAACATACATTCAACCAAAGTAACTAAAGTCACACCAAAGTAACACATAGTCATAGAAACAAAAACAAGGCAGTAAAAATATAACGTATGAAAGTATACTTTTATGTAATAATCTACCGCATTGTGTAAAATATTGTAATAATACTAAGCATTTTAAGAATTAGCTAAAATTATTTTATAGATAAACTTTCATAACTGCATATCTTCAATTTTAATCGTATGAATAATGTATTAATAGAATATTTATAACTTTAAAAGATCACCTATATCATAAATACGTACATGTGTTTAAATTAAGTGAAATAAAAGTGAAACAAAATTAATAAAGGACATATAAAAATAAAACAACGAAAATTATATGATGCATGCTAACGTGTAAAGATTGTTAATATTAATTTTTACGTATACATAATCTCCGTATAAGTGAACAATGTGTTCTTCAAGAGAAATACATTTCTTTAACCCGATTTTTTCACAAAAAACATTTTTTTATTACTCATATTATTTTATTTTCCATACGCGAAGAAATCTTATTTTCCATACGCGAAGAAAATTAAGAAGGAAAACTTCATCGCCGAGCACGAGACAAATTAATACATAAAATTTCAATGGTGCCTGCGTATATCGAACGCGGGTTGCTTGCGTCCTGCGAAATTTACGACATACTTCTAGCCTTTGAGCTACCACGGCTATCTAGTTTATTAATTTTATCAAAAATATCTAATAACTTAGTTAAATTCCTTAAAAGTTTTAAATATCTTCTACGATGAAGTAAAATGGTAGTTAACAGTTTGATGTAGTATATTTATATACATTTGGTTGTAGACGTCTTTACCAAGTAAAATATTATTGAAAAACACAACCATGCCGATTAAATGTGTATTGACGGGTTTCACTTTTTTATAGAAAAAAGGTGACAAACAAGTACATAGTTTACCTAATAGTGAGTGGCGTGCCCATGGACGTCTACATCTATCTTTGATTAAGAGTCTAAATGCGGGTGCGTTGTCACTACTGAGGACTAAGATGGAATGTCTTGTTTCCGGTAAAAGGGAACTATGTATAGACAGGAATCCTCATGTATTTTTCTTTCACTGTCTACAATTTTTGTGGCGCCGACGGGGTTCAAACCCTGTTTGCTCTTGTATTATAAAATTTTCGTCAAAATTTTTTTTATTTAATAAGGATGACAAACGTGCAAATAGTTGATCTGATGGTAAGTGAATGCTGTGGCCCATAGACATTTACATTTATCCTCTATAAAGAATCGATATGCAGATACATTGTCATCCCTTAAAGTCCGGTGAAAAGACTCTCCGATTCTCTAGTCTCTGCACTTGGTGAGTGAAACATTATAGATCAGCATTATTAGCTGCTATAGTGCTATAGTCTATAGTGAGAGCGTGGTGCTTCCCCGGTCGAGCCGACTCATTCGTATTACAACCATAATACAGCTGCAGCGTGGCTCTAACACATATAGAAAATGACTCTCCTACCTTGCTTCTTACAAAAGCATTGACGTATATTACTGAGGTGAAATAATCATGAATAACTTTTTTATGGCTAGTATAAACCAAAGTCGTATTAAAAAGATACGGCAACGATTCTAGCGAGAAGGAACTGCAGATTACTGGTAAAGACAACGCTTGGGTCGAGCAAGCAAAGCCGATTAAATTTATTTTTCGATTATTTATTGCAGGGAAAACCAAGCATTTGTTTGTTTAAAGATTTTACTTTTGTATATTACGGGAAACGTGTATATATGGTTCCTCATGGTGCGAAATATGGGGTAGTATATTTTATGCCGCCGGCGTGGAGTCGAGTCTGTGGTATCGGCTTGTCGCTCATTTAGCACCACCTATTCCTAGGCCCACCCTACACCCGGGGGACACGTGTAGGGTGGGCCTAGGAATAGGTGGTCAAAGTCTACGGACGCGAGCAACTTATCCCTCAAAATCGGAAAGGGACGTCCTAGGCAAAAATTTATCGACCATATTGGCGATTTATTGAAAACGGGCCAAATTAGGAATACCCTTAACCGACGAGCATGTATGCGTAGGTGTATGGATGTGAAGGAGGCGAGAGAGGTGTGTCAGGATCGTGCCAAATGGAAGTCTGTAGTCTCTGCCTACCCCTCTGGGTGACAGGCGTGATTGTTTATGTATGTATGTATGTACGTGAATATTGTTATTTTTACCGTACCAGGCGTTACTGTTTGGGAATCCGTTAAATTTACAATGCCAAACATTAATCTAGCTGTTTTGTAACTTCTATATTATTTTATTGTTTGTTTTGTTCGTGTAGTGACGATGTAACAACAATAACAACGGTAACAATATTCACTACCTAATATTGTCCTACGGGTGTCCTAAGAGACGAAAGAGGGGAAACAACCTAGGAGATGGACAGCAGCGTCTTTAATAATAATATAATAATAATAATAACAAAAGGCGTAGGGAAGTGACGACCACATCGCCCGCTGACGTAACAGTTATGTGACAAAACTACTACGTCGGCGCAGTCAGTCAGCATCCTGCCAAGAGCCGTGCCTAGGCAAAATTGTGGGTACAAAGGTCCGTTTGTGCATATGACCAAACCACGAAACGGTGCCGGGCTTGGGCGTCTCCCGTTATTTGGCGCCCATAAAATGGATGATGGCACAGAAAGGAACGCGCATAGGGCCGCTGCCTGGGGGTCGCCGGGGCGCGTCTAGAGCTGGCACTGGACGCGGCAGCATGCGGGCCGCCAGCCGAGCGTGAGGAGCTGCACGATTACCTAGCAGCCCCTCGCATCCATCATCCCCACCAGAAGGCTTGGTGTCGGCTGGGTTTTCTCGGACTCATCAAGCAGCACCCGCCACTGGTGGAGCACGTCGCATGCGTTGGACAAAATCTATGAACGAAAACGCATTGCGGACGTACTATAGGGCGAAAGGGGAAGAAACTGTGGGAATAGCGTATAGGGCTCGGATGCATTACTTTTTTGCTGAGCTGGAGCCTTCTGTCCCCGTCACGGAACAAAACCTGGCAGACCGAGTTCGGTACATAATGCGCTCGAAAATATTTGATGATGCCGAACTCGAACGACTACGACGTGAGGCTATTCCATCGTCGAATGAATCGGCTATGGCTGGAGATGCAGCTGCACATCCGACAGACCAGCATCCACACGTGGAAGCCGCCATGGATCCTCCAGTTGTGGTTGATTCGAACAACGATGAAATAGTCTCCCACGAACTAGAGCAAATGAGGAGTATATTGGAAGAGGCGATTTTGGAAACGCGCTTCGATCTAGAAAATCGACCGCAACTTCCCCGCATACCCCTAAGCAAGCGAAATCGGGCTGTCGTGAGGGCTCTTAACCCAATGCTGGTGACCTATTTGGAAGCCAGCCGGTACCTTTGCGAGACGGACTCAATTCTCTTTGGCGCCGCAGTGGCAGTTTTCCGTATTATTGGTGCCAAACTTCCCATGGCTGGACGCGCTACTACACAAAGTAACGCCATCCAAGCCTGGAGAAAATGAATCGAGGACCGTATCGCAAAGGCAAGGGCCCTTATCGGCAGACTGACAAGCTTCAGGTCGGGTAATAATAGACCGAGGATTGTGCGCACCGTTAGGATGGCGTTTGCTGGGACAAATATCAGTTTGTCCCAGCCGGATATCACGCAGAAACTAACGGAGCGCATAGATGACCTGAAGCAAAAGATCGCTGCTTGGGGGAAGCGGATTCGACGACTTACCGAGAGGTCAAGGCGGTTCAACCAGAATCGTCTCTTCCAGAGTGACCAGAAGAGGCTCTATAAATCATTGGAGCGACCATAGGTATGTGGAGCGGGCCAAGGACCGGATCAGGCTGACATTATCGCATTCTGCCGTGGCCTGTGGTCAGAGCCCGTAAACCACAGCGAGGGCCCTTGGGTGGAAGTTGTGGCGAGCCAGGGTGCGAGTGTTATGCCTATGGATCCCATCACCATAACGCCGGATGACGTGGCTGAGGCGGTCCGTAGGGCCCCGAACTGGAAAAGTCCGGGGCTCGACGGGCTGCATCATTACTGGCTGAAGGGTTTCATAGTGTGTCACGCTGTGCTCGCCCGACAGTTTCAAGAGATTTTCGACCAGAAGTCGCTCCCGAGCCTCTTCACTACTGGGATCACTCACTTGTTTCCTAAAGATCAGGATACCACAGACCCGAGCAAATACCGCCCCATGACGTGTCTACCCACCATATATAAGACACTGACATCCATTTTGAGCGCGAGAATCACTTGTCACCTGGAGCTAAACCAGGTGATGTCACGCGCTCAAAATGGATGTCGGGGCGGTGGTCGTGGAACCAAGGAACCACTCCTCATTGACGCGGTCATAGGCAAAGTGGTGATACGCATCCATCAGAATTTCTCTGCCGCTTGGATAGACTACAGAAAGGCGTTCGACTCGGTGCCACATACGTGGCTAAAGAGAGTCCTCGAGCTGTACAAGATTGACAGTACAGTTAGAGACTTCCTCGAGCAGTATATGGGGCAGTAGAGTACGACCCTTTGTCATCTGGGAGAGCGGATTATGGCTGCGGAGAACCACATAAGGATAAGAAGGGGTATCTTCCAGGGCGATTGTCTGAGTCCAATCTGGTTCTGCCTCTCTCTGAACCCTCTCAGTATCTTACTGGAGGGCTCCGAGAGGGGATTTCAGCTACGGAAAGGAGGGACAAACGTGACCCACCGTTTCTATATGGATGACCTCAAATTATTCGCCTCCAGTCGCTCCCATCTTATGGAACTGCTAAACATCACTTGTGAATTTAGCAGTTCCATTGGAATGGAGCTGGGACGGATAAGTGTGCGGTCCTCCATTTTGAAAGGGGAAGGGTTGCTAACTCTGAGGGCATAGACTTGTCTATGCCCGTCAACTTAAGGACCCTTTCCGAGGCTGAAACATACCGATATCTGGGTATGTCACAGAACATCGGTATCGATGAGGCTGGTATGAAACAGTCAGTTTGCAACGTGTTTTATGCACGCTTGACTAAACTGCTCAACAGCCTTTTGTCCGGTTTGATTAGGTCACACGCATATAACTGCTGGGTCATGCCTGTCCTCATGTATACCTTTGGCATACTCAGGTGGACTCAGACTGAGCTTAACGCCCTAGATAGAAAAGTCCGCACTACCATGACGACCCATAGGATGCATCATCTGAGATCGTCGGTAATGAGGCTCTACTTGCCGCGAAAGCATGGTGGGCGTGGCTTTCTGAGCGCGCTCACCATGCATAATTGCGAAGTGTGCAGTCTCCGTCAATACTTCTTGGCGAGATCGGATGATCCATTCTATAATGACATCATTTCTAGTGATAAAGGGCTTACCCCTCTATCCTTAGCCAACGAGCAATGGCAGGACCCAGCAGTGCTTAGCATTTCCGACCGGGAGACCGTATGGAAGGAGAAGGAGCTCCACGGGAGGTACTATAAGGCTCTACATGAGCCCTTCATAGATACAGTCGCTTCCCTTAACTGGCTACGTTTCGGTGACCTCTTCGGGGAAACCGAGGGTTTCGTCTGTGCAATACAGGATCAGGTTATTAAGACCAACAATTATCGGAGATACATCCTAAAGGATGGCACCGTCGACGTCTGTCGAGCTTGTCGCCATCCCGGGGAGTCACTTAGGCATGTCATCTCCGGTTGTTCGGCGCTTTCTAATTCTGAGTACTTGCACAGGCACAACCTAGTAGCCAGAATTCTACACCAGGAGCTCGCTCTGAAATACGGTCTCGTGGACCGGAGAGTGCCGTATTACAAGTACTTGCCGGAAGCCGTGCTCGACAATGACCGCGCCAGGCTCTACTGGGACCGGGCCATCATCACAGACAGGACTATTCTTGCGAATAAGCCTGATATTGTGCTGATGGACCGAGCACAGTCAAGGATATTTTTGGTCGACATTACTATTTCGTATGACGAGAACCTCGTGAAAGCCGAAACAGATAAGCGAACAAAATATCTGGACCTGGCTCACGAGGTGACCGACATGTGGGGTGGTCGGCCGACCGAAATTATTCCAGTAGTCGTCTCTGCGAATGGGCTATTCCCAGTCAGCCTCTCGGGTCATCTGAGGCGACCCATATTGTGAACCCAATCCCTGACAGACACTGTAACTAAATATTATACGAGATTATTTTATGATATAAAGTAAAAGATGTGATTATATGTATGGTTAAGTTACGGAATACATAATTATAAATGAAAATATTGATAATGTATAGTTGGGAGAGTAAGATAAAGAAAATTATCGGAGGTTAGTATATCCACATACAATCAGCCTGATCGGCTGAGAGTTTGGAAAACCTAATAGCCGATTAATTTTTTAAGTTTGTTCGGACACGATTAAATGCGGAATAAGTAATGTATTTTAAAGAGGGAAATGATAATTTATTATGAATTGTATAGGAATATTTTCCACTATCTTGATCATGTATGTACGCGAGCCGTGTACATGAAAGTTATGTTACAATTAAATAATGAATTACATGAGCTGAAATGTAAAGAAGTGAATTAAATGATATTGGTAATTTTCTTGATCATGTATATACGCGAGCCGTGTACGTGAAAGAAATGACATACATGTGTAATGAATAGCTAAAGGATACGAATAAATATTATTGTAAATTTTTGTGAAAATAAAAACATAATTTTATGTTATACACATAATTATGCCTGATTATGTCAATTATACTACTGTGACTATGCATTTTTTCGTACTAGATATGTCTTAGATTATAGTTTTCATAATGATATTAACCTTTTTTTAGAATAATCTTAAGGATCTATTTTAAGAATTGATAAAAAAAATATAGATAGCATATTTTTTTATTCTTTTGTCGGTGGGAGGTGTAGTGTAGTGCTCCCACGTTAATATATTTTAGTTTTAAGGTAGAATAATGAGCAGTATAATTAAAGTTATAGTACCAACAACACGTATCTCTTCATTGACACCTTTCATTTATTACACGTCCATCAAATGCAGTTTTAACACAAAATGAATTAAGTACAATGTATTTTCTTCTTTTGTTCAAAATATTTGGGTCGTAAATCAAACCTTTATGACTTTTTAATATTGTGTGCAAAATATATAATTTTCTAATACTTATTATATCAGTATTTAAATACAGGCTTTTAGTTGGGAATTTATAAGGCAAAAGTATATTGTCTTTACTAAGGCACGTTGATCTCTTTCTAATTGCAACAATTTTGTTTTTGTTGCTCCACGCCATATCGGAAGGCAGTCTTTCTTCAATAGTCAGTTATTAACGATTGAGCTAATGCTACATAAATATTGTTAATGAGCGTATCTAAAGTAATATGTCTAAGCATTTTAAAAATCCAGGCTAATTTTCTAATTCTACATGTTATTACATCGATATGTTCATGCCAAGTTAAACGTTCATCTATAATGATCCCCAAGTACTTGGTTGAAGAAACTTTCGTAATGACAGAACAGTTCAATGTTGCAAGTGTGAATATTTATATTAAAGTTATTTCCTGGTTGAGCTTGGTTCTTTTTTGTAAAATAAATATAATTAGTTTTAAGTGCATTAAACGTTAGAAAATTAGATTGAAGCCAGCTTGAAATTATAGTAAGCCCAGATTCTGTATTTTTACGAATCTCATCCCATGATGCTCCAGTAAAAACTACAGCTGTGTCATCGTCATATGTGAACACAAGGGCACCATTAATTTTCAGATTACAAAGATCATTTATATAAATTAGAAACAATGTTGGGATTAAAATACTACCTTGTGGTACGCCGTAAGTGGTGTATGTGTCCTCACTAATAAACTCTCCTACTTTAACTTTTTGTGTACGGTTAAATAAGTAATTCTTAAAAAATGTCAAGGTTGTATCTCTGATGCCAATGTTTTCTAATTTTTGTAAAAGGATGGGGATAGAGATAGCATCAAAGGCTTTTTTTAAGGTCTAGAAAAACTGCAAGACATTTTTTACCCTGATCTAAGTTGTTAGTTATATACGAGCTAAGAGCTAAGATTGCATCTTCTGTGGATTTACCTTGTCCGAATCCATACTGACAGTCAGGCAAGATATCGAACTTAGTAAGATTACTTAATAATCTTGTGTTGATAAGTTTTTCCAATATCTTAGAAAGTGAAGGTAGTACTGAAATAGGTCTGTAGTTGCTAACATCACCTCTATCCCAATTTTTATACACTGGTGTTATAACAGCTTGTTATAAAGGTTGAGGAAAACGCCACGCTTAAAACAAATGTTTACAAAGTGACAGATTATAGGAGTTATTTGAGTTACTGCAAGTTTTAGAAAGTGCGCTGGAATGTTATCCCATCCAGGAGCACTGTTTGATTTTAGGTTCATGATAACATCATGTACCTCGTAAGGATTTGTATCTAGCAAGACAAAGGATGAAAGCTGGGGTTGTCCGACCAGTGTTATACATTTACTATCGTTATTTCTAGTTATTATTTTTTTGGCAAGATTTTTGCCTACATTGGC